TACATAATAATGTCTCCTTGTATTCATCTTCTGATCAAAGGCTTCCCAATGCGGCTCATTGATGTCACAAACCACAGCCCACATAGGCTGATGGAGTCTGGAGAAAAGGGTTACAGCATTTCCAGACAAAAAAGCCCCAAGGCCAGAAAAGTCTGACTTCTCCGCGAGGCAATGACCACAGCCCCTGCTAAGCAGGTCAGACGGCCCCTCCACAATGAAAACGGCAAATGGATCACCCTGACACTGACACCAGTACAGAGAGATGAAAACTCGACTGCCTTAAACAGAACTGTTTCAACTGCTTGAAAGTTAATGCCAGTCAGATAGCCACAGGCACACAGCACGGCTCAGGCTGCAGTGAGATGCTAACCTGGTCAGCCCAGCTTAGTACTGTGTTGTGGTCTCCCTCTGGCTTGAGCAGCTATAGAGCCTAAGCGTAGCCACCAGGAAACCAGGGATGGAGCCAGCAGTCTCCCGAGGCACCAGGTTCTACGCTGGGAACGGCTGCAGTTCCCATCAGGGAGAGGGGTCAGTGGGCCTGCACTTCACCCCACCAGCAGACCCGCACAGTGCCTAGAAGTTCAACTTCAAGGTCACAGGCGTGGGCTCTGGACTTAGCTCTACCCAAGTGCTCTGAGACCTTGAGGAAGAATGAAGACTGGCCCAGAGCAGCTGTTTTCAATCAATTCCGAGAGTGTCCCCACGTGGTGAGCAGGAGGAGCTGGAGGGGGGGCCTGCAAGGGCCTGGGACCCTCAGCCCTGCTTCGGCAGCACCTCCCCCTTCCAGGCTCAGCTACTCTGCTTCTATGGAAGACGATGTTTGGGAGCAGGGAAGGAAAAGAGAGTCCCCTGTTTAAAAGTGGGCAAGCGCCCTAGCTGGTTTGGCTCAGTGGATAGAGTGTCGGCCTGTAGACTGAAGGGTCCCAGGTTTTATTCCAGTCAGGGCACATGCCTGGGTTTTGGGCTCGATCCCCAGTAGGGGGCATGCAGGAGGCAGCTGATCCATGATTTTCTCTCATCATTGATGTTTCTGACTCCCTTCTAAAATCAATAAAAATATGTATATTTTTAAAAAGTGGGCAAGCTATTTGAGAATATGATCTCGATGTTCTAAGAACCTCTGAAATACTATCATTTCAAAAGAGTTCTATTATTGTAGAACATATCATTACATAATAAAAGATTATATATCATGTAAGTATAACCTTGCATAAACAGCGTATATAGCATACATTATTTGATTAAACTATATGATTATGGAAATAGTTCAATGGACCAAGGATTCACTAGGTGTCAGAGTCCTGCTGTGTGCTCCCCAGTTGTCACCTTTAATCCCCTCAATGGCTCTACAAAATAAGCATAATCTCAGATTTTATCATGAAAAAATGGAGGCTCAGAGAGAGCACCTACATGGCCCAAGGTGACAAGCTAAGATGTGGCAGAGCCGGGGTCAAACCCCCATCTCCCGATTCTCAAGTCTTCATCAGACGCCCCCCAAAGCCACAGGCGGAGCCCTACTCAGAGCGGCCCAGGGAGGTCCATAGGCTTAGACACAGGCAAGACATGCTCCACAGAGCGCAGGCCACTCCTGCTTCCCCAGTGGGATCCACTCTCATCACCCAGAGCCTCAGAGGCCAGGAGCTCTCCCTTCGCGTCTGCAAGATTCATTTGGGAATTTTCTCCCTTTTTTCAATTCCCTCTAGAACTTTGAATGAAATCAAATAATGGGCTCAATGATTCAATATTTTCTAAAATAACAATATATTCCATTTCATAAAGAAAATCCTAACATCTGTGACTGCCAAAGAACTGTCTTTTTCTTCGTAAAATTTTCATTCAGAGTCCAAGATAGTGCTTTTACATGTCAAATAACATGACAGAACATTGATAACTGCACAACAAAAGGTGGCACTACTCGGCCAGCACGGCTCAGTGGTTGAGCATCAACCTATGAAACAGGAGGTCAGGGTTCGATTCCCGGTCAGGGCACATGCCCGGGATACAAACTCAATCCCCAGTAGGGGGTGTGCAGGAGACAGCCGATCCATGATTCTCTCTCATCATTGATGTTTCTAGCTCTCTCTGCCTCTCCCTTCCTCTCTGAAATAAAAAAATATATATTTTAAAAGAAAATTGTAGTTTTTCCATATCCTACTAAATAGTAGATGTGATAGCATTTATAAAGATGGCAGAAGTAATTAAATAAACACACACCCTATCTAATAAAGAGGTGATATGCAAATTGACCATTAGGTTGTCACAAAGATGGCGGTGCCCATAGCCACAAGATGGCGGCGCCCAGTTCCCTCAGCCCTGCCAAAGTCGCTTAGTCCTTGCAGCCCTGCCAGGGAGGTGGCAGGCACGTGGTGTGGCCGGACCTGCCCTCAGCCCCCGAGCCGCCCAGGGCCAGCCCAAGGCACAGGCAAGCCTTGGATGGTGGCTGCCCAGCCTCCCAGGGCCGCCCAAGGCTCAGGTAACCAGGGCTGGCCGAGGCTTGCGCTGCCAGCAGTGGCAGCAGCAGAGGTGTGGTGGGGCGTCACCTTCCCCTGATTGCCAGGTCACCCCCCGTCCCTGAGGGCTCACGGATTGTGAGAGGGGGCAGGCCGGGCTGAGGGACCCCTCTCCAGTGCATGAATTTTCATGCACCGGGCCTCTAGTATATACATTTAAAAGGTGGCACTAGACGACATACGTTATTATACAGTGTGCTCTGTTCTGAATGTTATGTCCCCCCAACCCCGCCCTAAAATTCACTTGCTGAAATCCCAACGCCCAGGGTGAGGTATTAGGGGGTAGGGCCTCTGGGGGGTGATCAGGTTATGAGGGAGAAATTCTCCTGAATGGGGTCAGTGTCTTCATAAAAGAGACCCCCCCTAAGAGCTCCCCTGCCTTTCCCCCAGGCGAGGACACAGCTGGAAGGCGGCCATTTATGAACTGGGAAGCGGCTCTCACAGGACACAGCACC